CCCGACCCACAGCCCCTGTTAGCCCAGCCCTTGGCTCCCCCCATCTCTGCCAATGCCCCTCACTCCCGCCCACAGCCCCCTGCCAACCCAGCCCTCCGCTCCCCCCATCTCTGCCAGTGCCCCTCATGCCCGACCCGCAGCCCCCTGCCAGCCCAGTCCTGGGCTCCCCTATCACTGCCAGTGCCCTCACTCCCAGGGAGAAGTGGCCCAGACATCGGGGTCACTTGCCCAGCAGGGGTGATGCTGCCCCAAACCTGACTCCGAGCCTTTAGCCTGACAGATCCTGGGAGGGGTTAACCTGGCAGAGGACTGAGCCATGGGGTGACCCCCAGAGCCCAGGAGGGGACACCTGGAGCAGCCCCACCCCCACCCTGTCCTGTTCTGGAGCCCAAGACACCGGCCCCAGGGGAGATGGACTGATGGGGTGGGGGCATGAGAGAGCAGATGAGAGCATGGGGGTATCCTGGGGGGCAGGGGGTACCCTGGGGGGAAGGTCTCACACACCAGCACCCCACCCTGTGCCCCACACCTGGGCACTGCCAGCCCCACACACCAGCACCCCACCCTGTGCCCCATGCCTGGGCACCCCCAGCCCCACACACCAGCACCCCACCCTGTGCCCCATGCCTGGGCACCCCAGCCCCACACCTGGGCACCGCCAGCCCCACACACCAGCGCCCCACCCTGTGCCCCACGCCTGGGCACCCCCAGCCCCACATGTCAGCGCCCCCATCAGCCCATGACGTGGTCTCACCGTGCAGTGCTCCCGGGACAGGGGGTCACCGGGGGGCGGGGGGCAGCGTGCAGGGTCCGTAGCCCCCCGCTGGGCCGTCTCCACCTGGTGTCATGGGGCCCCTGGTGCCAGCCCAGCCCCTCGCCCTCGGGTCAATCCTGGGGCAGCAGCGGGTCCGGGCGGTGTCCAGAGGCGCCGGCTCCGCGCGACTGAACGACCCAGGGAAGGAGCCGCAGCCACAGACCGGCCCCGCCGGCGGGTTAACCCCTGCGCTGCCGGACCCCCCTCACCGCCCCCGCCGGCATGTTAACCCCATAGCTACCGGAACCCCCCCCCCGCCCTCCGCCGGCGGGTTAACCCCTGCGCTGCCGGATCCCCCGCGCCGGCGGGTTAACCCCATAGCTACCGGATTTCCCCACCCCGGGCCGGCGGGTTAACCCCTGGCCGCCAGCTCCCCTCTCGCCGGCGGGTTAACCCCTGCGCTACTGGCCTGCCAAGCAGGTTAACCCTTTAACTGCCGACCCCTCGCCAGCAGGCCAACCCCTTCTCTAGTGCCAGGAAGCCTCCCTCGAGCGGGTTAACCCCTTCACTGCTGCCCTCCGCACGTGGGTTAACCCCTTCAGGGCCGGGTCCTGCCAGCGGGTTAACCCCTTCAGCACCCAGGCCCCACCGGCAGCGAGTTAACCTCTTCAGCGCTGGGCTCCCTGCTAGAAGGTTAACCCCTGCACTGCTGGACTCCCCTTGAGCGGGGTTAACCCCCGTGTTGCCGGGCTCCCCAACAAGTGGGTTAACTCCTCCAGCGTCAGCCCCCTGATGAGCAGTGTGAACCCCTGCAGCGCCGCCCTCCCCTATTTGTGGGTTTAACCCCTTCAGCACAAGCCTGGCTAGGAACCGTGGTTAACCCCTTCAGCACCAGATTCCCCACAAGCGGGGTTAACCATGTCACTGCCAGCCTCCCCGCCAGTGGTGTTAACCTCTTCCCAGCCAGGCCTTCCCGAGTAAGCAAGTGGGTTTAACTCCCGGAGTGCCAGCCTCCCCAGCGAGCCAGGTTCACCACTTCCCTACCGCTTCCCTGGTCTGGATCAGGGTAATCCCTTTCTGTGCCAGCCTGCCCAATTTGAAGTGGTTTAACCCATGTGATGCCAGCTTCCTGTGCCAAGGAGTAATTGAAATAGCAGTTACTAAAGTTAAAAAATTGTACATCAGCAAGTCTGGATAACACCCAAGAGTTTTAAAAGAGCTGGCCGAGGATCTCCCTGGACCAGTAATGGGGATTTGCAGTGAGTCTTGGAGCACGGGGGAAGTTCCAGGAGACTGGAAGAAAGTGAATCTTGTGCCACTATTTAAAAAGGGCAAATGGGGATGACCTGGGTAATTATCGGCTTGTCAGCCTGACACTGATCTCAGGCGAGATAATGGAGCAGCTGAACCAGGACCCTATTAATAAAGAATAAAAGGAGGGGAAATACCAATCAACATGGAAAATGGAGCCGGTCAAGCTATCTTTTTTTAAAGCAAGCTCACAAGTTTGATGGACAAAGGTAACAGTGTTGATGTCATATCCTTAGACGTCAGTAAGGCATTTGGCAGTTTGATTAAAAAACTAGAACACTATAAAATGAACACGGGAACCATTAAACCGCTTAAACCCAGGCTAACGGACAGGTCTCAAAATGTAACTCTAAACGGGGAATTGTCACTTAGCAGGTGGGCATCTAGTGGGGTCCTGTTCTTGGCCCTACGCTATTTAACATTTTTATCAGAGCCCTTGAAAGAAAACATAAAGTCATCACTGATCGCGTTGGCAGATGGCGCAAAGATCGGGGAAATAGTGTCGGTCTGTTGGTCTCTGCTACAGAGCCGTCTGGTAAACAGGGCACAAGCAATGAATACGGTGAAATATAAATGGATACACCCAGGGACAGTGGACTTAGGCCATACCTACATGATGGAGGATTCTATCCTGGGAAGCGGCGACTGACAAAGATTTGGGGATCGTGGTGGACAATCAGGTGAGCCAGCAGCTCCCAGTGCGATGCTGGGGCCAAAAGAGTTAACAGCATCCTGGGATGCATATGGAGAACAGAGGTGATTTTCCCTCTGAATTTGGCGCTGCTGGGATCCTGTGCCCACAGTTCAAGAAGGATGTTGATAGAGAGAGAGAAGAGAAGAGCCATGGGGATGATTCATAGATTCATAGATTCTAGGACTGGAAGGGAGCTTGAGAGGTCATCGAGTCCAGTCCCCTGCCCGCATGGCAGGACCAAATACTGTCTAGACCATCCCTGATAGACATTTATCTAACCTACTCTTAGATCAAAGGCTTAGAAAACCTGCCTTGCAGGGAGAGACCCCAGGAGCTCCAGCTGTTCGGTCTAACAGAGAGAAGCTAAAGGGGTAACTTGTTCGCAGTCTCTAAGTACCACAGGGAGGGACAAATATTTAACCCTGGCCTCTTCAGTCTAGCCGAGCCAGATGGAACACGAGCTGATGCCTGGAAGCTGAAGCTAGACCACATGCCGACTGGAAAGACTGGGTATGTCGGTCTCAAGGAGGGGAATTACCCTGGGATGGGTGAGCTTGGTCCTAGTTCATACAGGGATGAACTCAGGGCCTCTGTCCTGCGGGAGGTCAGAGTAGCCCATCCTAGGCAGCAGTTCTGAAGAAAAGGACCTAGGGGTTACCGTGGACGAGAAGCTGGATATGAGTCAGCAGTGTGCCCTTGTTGCCAAGAAGGCTAACGGCATTTTGGGCTGTATAAGTAGGGGCATTGCCAGCAGATCGAGGGACGTGATCGTTCCCCTCTATTCGGCATTGGTGAGGCCTCATCTGGAATACTGTGTCCAGTTTTGGGCCCCACACTACAAGAAGGATGGGAAAAATTGGAAAGAGTCCAGCAGAGGGCAACAAAAATGATTAGGGGGCTGGAGCACATGACTTATGAGGAGAGGTTGAGGGAACTGGGATTGTTTAGTCTGCAGAAGAGAAGAATGAGGGGGGATTTGATAGCTGCTTTCAACTACCTGAAGGGGGGTTCCAAAGAGGATGGATCTAGACTGTTCTCAGTGGTGGCAGATGACAGAACAAGGAGCAATGGTCCAGAGTTACAGTGGGGGAGGTCTAGGTTGGATATTAGGAAACACTATTTCACTAGGAGGGTTGTGAAGCACTGGAATGGGTTCCCTAGGGAGGTGGTGGAATCTCCTTCCTTAGGAGGTTTTAAGGTCAGGCTTGACAAAGCCCTGGCTGGGATGATTTAGTTGGGGATTGGCCCTGCTTTGAATCATGGAATATCTGGGTTGGAAGGGACCTCAGGAGATCATCTAGTCCAACCCCCTATTCAAAGCAGGACCAGTCCCCAGACAGATTTTTGCCCTATATCCCTCAGTGGCCCCCTCAAAGACTGAACTCCTAACCCTGGGTTTAATAGGCTAATGCTCAAACCACTGAGCTAACCCTCCCCCTCACTGAGCAGGGGGTTGGACTAGATGACCTCATGAGATCCCTTCCAACCCTGAGATTCTATGATCCTTGGGGAGTTAACCCTCCTGCACCAGCCTCCTGGAGCGGGGCAGGGTTAACCCCCTCAGTGCCAGGCATGGGGTTTGAACTTTGAGGAGAAGAGATTAAGCTCCAATCTGCCAAACACCCTGTCCTGGGATTAACCCTTTCCCTCCAGGGCTCCAGGAATTAACCCTCTCCATGCCAGGCTGTTCCTCCAACCCCTGCCTGGGTCCCATCCGCTGTGCTAACCCTTCACAGCCTCTGGGAACAGTCTTGGCCTCTGCCTAGTGCGGCCCAGGGAGGCTGGGTTAACCATGCTGCTGCCAGAGCCCTGTGGGGAGGGAACTGCCTCTCTTGCCCCAGCCCTAGAGGAGGTGGGGCTTCTCCCCCGCTGCTCAACTGATGAATTTACCTGCCATGGCCCTGCCCACTGATTGAAGGGGTGGGTCTATGTAATTTAGGGGACTGAGTCATTCTGTGACAGGCAGACCCTCTGTCGCCTTAGTAACCCCAATCCCACCCCCATGGGAGGTAGTCTCTCTGAAAAGCAGCTGCCACAGGGGCTGTTCCTTCTTCTCAGCGAAGGAGCCCCAGAGCTGTGGGGACATGAAGGAAACCAGCTTCACCCGCCCCCATGTGCTAGGATCAGCCCCTGCACAGGAAAGGGTCCCAAGGCTACACAGGGAACCAGTGCCAGCCAGGGAGAGAACCCAGGAGTCCTGGCTCCCCACCTCCCTGTTCCAACCACTAGAGCACACTTCCGTCCCAGAGTCAGGTATAGAACCCAGGCGTCCTGGTGCCCAGACCCCCTCCTGTAGCCACTAGACCCCATTCTTCTCTCGGAGGTGGGGATAGAACTCCCTCTTCTTACCATTAGACCCTCTACCCGCTGCCAGGAGTCGTGGCTAACCGCACATACATCATTTCCCAATGATCAGCAAGCCAAAAATGGACCCGCTTGCAGCCACCTCCCCTCTCCA